AAATAAACATGTTATACTCGATATAACTTATAGTAAGTTGTTTCATTAAACTAATCGTTCAAGAACTTGTTTATGTATAACATAAAATCAAAGTCAAAATTGAATTTTACCATGTCATAGGTAGTAATTAGTGAATTATAGTAATTATATCATTAAACTAATTTAGGAATTTTAAAATTAGAATGAAAATATTAATGAAATTGATATCCATTTATTATAATTTTTACATATCATTATTATGTGGAATTTAATAAAATGAAAAAAAAAACATAAAATGTCATGTGGTAAAAAAATAATTTTTAATAACTACAAAATGACATGTGACAAAAAATATATTTATTTATCAGAATATATTTAATCACTAATTGTCACACCCTCGAACTAGACGGCGGAAACGTCTGAGGGCTCGTGTGACTATCAATTGAAATATCATCACAATGAATATACATGAAACATAACACAATCATCACCAACATTACATATTACAACTGATATTGTTCACACCAAATACATTGTCTTAGGTTACATATTCCAAAATATTAATTGTACGATGATTGATATTACACAAAATAAATCCACACACTTGAAGGTTCTTCTGCTTAATGGTTACCTGAGAATACAACTTATTTTGAAAACGGTCAACATATATAATGTTGGTGAGTTCATAAGCATGTTTGAATGAAAGATTTTGTATTGTTTGTAAAACTCAGCAGATCCGATATCTTCTGTAATTTGTCTGAAAATGAAGTGAAAAATCGAGTATAGATGCATGTGTGAATTCCATAGTAAAACATGTATAAGTATGCAGTCCGAATTTTCTTTGTATTCTTTCTGTTGTAAGTAAAAGGTAATTGAATAATAGTGTTTCCCCAGAAAATTCGATATTTTCTGCTATTAAAAGTGTCGTGATCATATAATCCCAAAACCAAGTATCGATGTATGTATGTTTTCGAATCGTCAAGATTAGTATGATTATACCGAAATTTTTGATAGAGTTAGTCTCTAAGTGAGCCATTACAACCATGCTTGATAATGACTAATTTACCTGTCATGGCGTTTTAGACGCCGGTTAGGTAAGGTTTGTCGCCCTAGACTGGCCTAGTCTAGCTGTAGCGAACAGCTAAGGCGTAGGGGTGTCATCCACGTATAGATCTATACACAAACTCCCGCTCTCCCCCTAGGAGACTCTGGTTATAACTACAGGCTACGATCGTACACTCAAAGGTCTCAACCGACAAGTCTCACTAGATTCTCAACTTTTCACGATTGTTACGTTTTTCACCAAGTATAATGTTTACGTGTACGTTTTTAAGTTTTCCAAATTCCAAGAGTAAGTGCTGTATAGTCCAAGCCCAATTAGCATGTAGATGGGCCACTAAGGCCAAATAGACATGTAAAAGGGTAATTTAGGCCCAATAGGCATGTAAATGGTTATATTGGGCCCAATAAACATGCAAATGGATCACGAAAGCCCAATAAGCATGTATAGTGAGTACTAAGCCCAATAGTCGTACCGTTGTTGTATTTCGTTTGTTTATTATAGTATAGTTCTTTTAGTCGAAACATTTATCCATAATGTTATAAAAAGTCCAGTTTTTGTTATAATGATATTTTTACTTCAAAATTCTATAATTTGATCTCATTTTTAATAAAAATTTCACTTTAGGTCCCTTAAGAATTAATTTGAACATTTAAAGACTTGTTTTTACATAAAATGTCATTTTTGGTATGTTTTAATTAAAAATAACATTTTAGCCCATTAATTTATAAAAAATTATATTTTCGGCCCAAATGTGTAGTAATTGACGGATTTGGCCCAAAATACATATATTGACATTTTCAGCCCTTATTTGAATAAAATGACATTTTCGGCCCAATTTTCATAAAATTAACATTTTTGGCCCAATTTTGAAATAAGAGTCATTTTCAGCCCTTATTTTTGTTTATTTTCATTTTTGGCTCAAGTTTTGATTTAATAACATTTTAATCCCTAAAAATTGATATTTTTGCAATTTGGGCCCAAAAAGCCGTAAGGCCCAAATTGAGGCCCATAATGCTAAATTTTACACTTTTGGCCCTTTGAAAAGTATGATTATTATAAAAACTCATTTTTATACAAATGTGACATTTTTAATCCTTATAAAACCGAAAGTGACACAATTGTCTCAACTTTTGTTTATTTGTCAAGAATAATCCTTATACAAGATTTTTGTTTTGTTTTTCACATCTTAAGCATGTATAACACTTTTATTCTTTGTAGTATGATGACTAGAGTATTTAGTTTATGAATCTCACCCATTTTTGTTAGGGTTTTCGAGATTCATCAAGATTTATCACATATTCACAACATAAACCAAGAAAATCACACATAACATGCATAAATACATAGATCTACACACAAACACTTGTATTCTCCCCCAAAACATATAAAAACTGAAAACAAGGGGGTATGGACTCACTTTGGGGTTTGGATCGATTTTGATGAAGAGATGAAGGAGATTTGAAGGTGTTTTCGGCCTTGGTTGCTTCCTTGGAGAAGTTTTCGAACTTGAATGTTTTTAGGAAACATGATCATGAAATGAAGCTGTGTAAGTATGAAATTTTAGCATAGGAATGGAGGATAACAAGTAGTACATGATGATAACTTACAAAGAAGGATGATCTAGATGAGAACCTCTTGAAGACACACACCAAATCTCGAAAATTTAGAGAGAATAAGGAGAGTTCTTGAGAGATTTCTTGTGAGAGTTTGAAGAAAAATGAAGATGGTGGTGTGTGTGTGTGTTCTCGGCCAAATTTAGAGGAGAAGGAAGAGAGAGAATCAAAAGGTTAATACATGATGGTTAAGAGTTTTTAGCCTAGATTACCATTAAATAAAATTTAGGTGGCAAATTTCATTTTTTTTTGTTTTAGTTGTTGGGCCGAGAGGGAGAAAGGAGGAGTGGTTTGTGCCTTTAGTGCTTGATTTCGATATTATGGGCCCAAATGGAAGGTTCTCGGCCCATTAGAATAAAAAGGAATGGAGTTTATGACCCATTAGGGCAAATTCATTCATTTATGGCCCAATAAGGCCCATTAGGGTTGGAATGAATCATTCTAAGCTCAAATGGTCCAAAATGTTATAGATTTATGAATTGAGTCCATTTAGAATCCAAATAGGGTTTCTAAGCCCAAAATAGTCGAATTGAATGCTTATTGATCCATTAGACCCAATAAGAAAATCCTAGTCCATAAAGAACTTGAACCGGGATTTTTAGGGTTTTCAACTCCCAATTGACTTTCTGAAATGTTTTGCATAGAGTTTTGAACTATAATTGCGGATCTTGACTAAGTTTGTTGTCATAGAATGAACATAGTGCATGATAGCAAGTTAGAGTTACAAATATTATCATAGATGACGTTTACATGATCACATAATTTCCTGGCTAAAATGCAAGTTGTGACACTAATTAGTTTTAAATTGCCTAATTGAAGTGCTTACACTTCAACACCTCATTTTATTAAAATGACACAAGATGGTATTAACATTGTTGATGATGCATGAGCCTATTGAGTTACACACAAAGTACATTCAAGTTCTAAAAAGAAAAAAACAATTAAGTGGGGCTGATATATTAATTCATTGATAATAAAGTGGCTTAATTAGAAACTAAAACTCGAGGGACTTAATATGTAATTAATCATATGGTTGGATAATGGCCATATATTAATTAGTATTAATATAATTTTATCCTATTATTTGAATTTTAAATAATTTCTTAGTCTATAAGTAAAGGAGTAATATAAATACGCCTCCCCCTTTTACATGTAGAGATGGATATAGGGTCGGGGAATAACGGGGACCTAAGTCCCTATCCTCACCCCAAATCCTCATTTCAATCCATATCCCCAACGGAGAGTATAAATGAATCCCCATCCTCACCCGCAATGGGGATCGAGGATCCCAAAAAGGGAATCAAATATTTCTTATTCTATTTTAACATGAAAACTTTTACGTAAATAAAAACTATAAATTTCAATTTTACAACATATGATTAAAGATTTTACAAACCATAAAAATATTCATAGATTGGGTAAACATTATAAACAAATTTTCTACCAAATTTAAATACATACATGAAAAATCAAGTATAAAGAAATTATGAGTGATATTTAAGGTAAAATAGATAAATCAAGGAGAATAAAAATTATACACGAGGTTAAATTAGATAAACAAATACTGAAAAATATAATTTCAACAAAGTAATTATCAATGAGTTGGGTTACTTGAATCAAATTTTAGGTATTTTAAATTTCACTATAAATATATGTTTTATTTTATTTTTATATATTTATATCTACCGAGATAGGGTCCATGGCCGGGGACAAGGGGTATTTTTATCCTCGCTTTTTTATTTGGGGATTTCCCGGTCAAATCGGGGTGCGAGTTTCGGGTTCCCTTCAATATTTATTATCTTCCCATATATTTAACGATTCTTTTCCTAAAGATTTAATAGTCAGATCGCCTTTAACAACAAGTCAACAACAGTGACTTCACAACATTTGACCAACATTTCGTTCAGTTGGATTGAACATATCAATACCGGAGACTCGAGAATAGCATTTGAACAACATGCCTATTTGGAGTTTTGATGTACTTCGCTTATGAACGTCGTTATTTTGGTGTGCACACATAATAGATAACTCTATTTTGGGTTCTATAAGATCATCGTCCACACATCGTTGCTTATGACAAATCTTCTTCTTATTTCTTTTGCTACAAGTTATTCGATGTACATATCTCCATGGTAAATTATGATGGTGTTTTAATATATTGTTTACGTTGCTATATTTCATTTTAAACGTTTAACATAATCCAATATCATTTAGCTGTTTATAGTTGCACAAAATGAGGAGCAATTCTGTAATGAAACATAGTACAAGGACTGTTTATATAAACTTTACTTGTCTCACGTGAATCAAACATCACTTTGGGTCCTGGGGATAACGAGGGGCCGAAACGACTTCTATCCATAAAGGGGGCGAGAAGAGGGGTTTATGTGTTATCATTTTAAACCCCGCTGAATCGAATCGATATTTTATGGTTCTCTTTAGAGCAACCCACTCTTGTCTACCCTCTTAAATCTCCAAAAGGTTTCGTGAATCGGCCATTTTTCTGCTTCCAATGGCTTGCAGACTCGCTGATTCTAGTTTCCTTTTGAAGGTAACATGCATTCCGTCAATCTCTGAAGCTGAATTTGTTCATTTTAGACACTGTTTGATGTTCCTTGGTTAATTTTGATTTTAGGGTCCCCAACAAAAGCGAATTCATGGACATAGATTTGTGTCACTGTATCCAACAGGTATGAATCCTTACTCTCGTGGTGTAATTTGGAGATTTGGGGTTTTATCGTCTCAATGCATTAGTAAAAAGACGCGGTCTTAAACAGTTAAACATTTAAGTCTGTTCATTAGAATCGATGATTTTGCCCAATATCAGGTTGTGATGGCTTTGTGGTTATAGATATGTAAACCTCCATGTGGTAAACAGACCTATATATTGCTTCCTTGATGTCAAACATAGTCGATGAATGATGATATTGAATGTTGTTCCTATAGTAGAGTGCTATCTAGACCTGCAAAACCAGAATCCCTAATGGGATTAGGACCTTAGACACCAATTAAAAGAGATTAAGAGTAAGAAGAAAGAGAAGTAGCTAATTACTATAAACGTGATAAAGGTGATAGTGGTGTTTTATGCATGTTTACTTGTTTTTAGGCTGCAAGTCTTACTTCATCCTATAACCACAAAATATAGAAATGTATGAAATCCATGAACTTAGTAAACACACTATTTTATTTTTAACCTTTTGATGGTCATTTATTTATACCAAGTTATTCTTCATTCTTCAAGTTAATTACAAGAAAAATGAATTTATCTACTATACTGCCCTTTTTCCTTTTTTCTTTACTATTGTTAGTTTTTTATAGTTAATTAAGTATTGTAACTTCTTACAATACTTGCTTGATTAGACAGGCACATCTCTTTTAAAGTGGGAAGCTCTACCTCAACACAAGCCCAAAACCCAAAAATATGTAATTCCTTTACGGAAGGGTAAAATAGTCAAAGCAGTAGCCAGTCCTATCACACCACCATTACCATCAGACAGTGCAGAAAGAAGACAAGAATTATGTGAAAATTACGGTTTTAGACAAATTGGAGAATCACTTCCAGATAATATCACATTGAAGAACATCATCGATACTCTTCCCAAATCCGTATTACACTCTTACTTATTAATTTTTATCCTTTTATTTTAAACATATTCATCTCTCATACTTCATATTTTTTTTTCTCAAAAGGTATTTGAAATTGATAACATGAAAGCATGGAAATCGGTTTTGATATCTACCACTTCATATGCATTGGGGCTTTTCATGATTGCCAAATCCCCATGGTATCTTCTTCCTTTAGCTTGGGCATGGACAGGAACTGCAGTTACAGGGGTAAAATCGTAAATAAACATATTTTTTGAGTTTCTTGTAATCAATCTAAACTTTTTTTTTTCTTCAAAAGTTCTTTGTAATAGGTCACGATTGTGCACACAAATCTTTCTCAAAGAACAAATTATTAGAAGATATTGTTGGAACTTTGGCCTTTTTACCCTTAATATACCCCTATGAGCCATGGCGCTTCAAGCATGACCGACATCACGCGAAAACAAACATGTACGTGTAATTGTAATTGTAATTGTATCATTTAAAAATGACCATAATACCCTTTTACAATAGAAGCTCAATTTTATTTTAAGTTTCGTTTAGGTTAAACGAAGACACAGCTTGGCATCCTGTAATGAAAAAACATTTTGATGAGTCACCATTTTTCAAAAAGGCAATTGTATTTGGATATGGTCCTATTCGCCCCATCATGTCTATATCACATTGGTAAATTTTCCATATATAAATTATTTTTCGACGTTTGGATATGAAAAATAGTTAAAAAATACATATTGTTGATTACTTTATATTGTTTTCAGGTTAATATGGCATTTTAATTTGAGTAAATTTAGATCAAATGAAATTGGAAGAGTTAAAATTAGTCTGGCTTGTGTTTTCGCATTTATGGCAATTGGATGGCCGTTGATTGTGTATAAAGTCGGGATAGTTGGATGGATAAAGTTTTGGCTAATGCCGTGGCTGGGCTATCATTTTTGGGTAATACGAATTTCCTGTGTCACTGTTAATGTCATTGTCACTGTTACTGTCAGTGTCAGTGTCAGTCTGTCACTGTGTAGATGTTATTGTGTTTACAGATGAGCACTTTCACGATGGTTCACCACACGGCGCCTCACATACCTTTCAAATCGTCGGAAGAGTGGAATCCGGCTCAGGCCCAACTTAGTGGAACCGTGCATTGTGATTATCCTCGATGGTATTTTTTTTAAACTATTATTTTTAAATCATTTAAACTAATATTTTTACTCTAATACTTTTTTCTTTTTTTTTTTAATTATTGTATACAGGATAGAGATCCTTTGTCATGATATCAATGTTCATATTCCTCACCATGTCTCCTCAAAGATTCCAAGCTACAATTTGAGAATGGCTCATAAAGCACTTCAAGAAAATTGGGGAAAAGTAAGTTTTTTTTTTTTTTTTTTTCATTAAGTAAAAAAGAAACTTAATTATTTTTGTCTGTATGAATTGTGATACGCAACACAGTATATGAACGAGGCATCATGGAACTGGCGGTTAATGAAGACAATCTTGACAGTCTGCCACGTGTACAATGAGGAGCGTAATTATATCTCTTTTGAAGAGGTTGCTCCTGAGATATCGGAGCCGATCAGATTTCTTAGACGGGTTATGCCCGATTACGCCTAATATTTTGTTTTTTTAATTTTTGTTTGAGGTTATTTATTTTTAATTGTTTATTTGCTTTTCTTATTTATACTATTTTTCTGAATAAAGCTTCTTGTTGGCTCATTACAATAAAACTAAATTGAAAATTAAGTTTAGAATAATAGTGTCCTCATATTCACATTTCACATTATGCGTCAAATATGAAATGGTATCAGAAAGAATCTTGTAAAAGTCAAAATGTCGGCACCATTGCATGTAAACTTAGGATAAATATGATTAAATTATATAATAAATATTTAACCAGTATCTTATACTGTAATTATTATCTAATTAGAAGTTGCTTTGTGTATATACAAAAGTCATAACATGCTAATTACCATCCATGTTTTTTGTTGAGACTTTAGTCGACTTTTTAAGAATCGTTTAGAAATATTCAAAATATCAATTTATCATATTGTTTATTATACGGGGATTAGGTACAAGAATCGGTCCTAATGGGTACAAACAGTTCCAGTTCCATATTTTAGGAACTGTAAACGGAAACCATTATGTGATATTGTTGAAACTTAAATAATTATTGTTGAAATTTAATTAATATAAGAAAATATTAGATTTAATATTTTAAAAGATTAGTAATTTGGGTTCACTGTATTTGGGAAATAATTTTTTCAGAATGTTTTCAAGTTACCAACAAACATTTTATTTTTGGGATAATGATTTAAAAAAATAATATATTTTTTGATTTGTACATTGGTCTCTAGGTTTTTTTTTTTCATTCACATTTACTCATTCAACTTGTTAAGATAATATATTTTTCACTTTGTAGACATTTAGTTCTTAATATTTTTGTACATATTTAGTCCTTAATATATTTTTGTTGTAAAATAAGTCATTGTTATTTTTGTACTCATTAGGTCATTTTGAATGATTTCTTTAGGTTTTTCTCACTACATCTTACGTAAGACAATCATTAATGAAGTGTTTGGAGCTTTTGATGTTTATGTCCATCGCGATCTCGATTACTTGGTTGCTTATGTCATGTGTTCTGAATGTCATAACTTCTTCGTACGATCTCGGATTTTAACGATCTTTATATCAATGTGTTCGTATTTTAGTCTACTACAACTTTCATTTAGATTACTCCCGTTAAAAAGTAATACATTTTTATTTACGATCTTTTTATCCATACGTTTTTATGAATGCATGTATGGATAATTTTTTTTATAAAATCGTAAATAAAAATATATTACATTTTAACGGGAGTAATCTTAACGAAAGTTGTAGTAGACTCAAAAAACGAATGAGTGAATATAAAGATCGTTAAATTCTGATATCGTATGGAGAAGTTGCGACGTTCATAACACAAGACCTAAGCCAAACAACAACACATACACAACCAAGTAGGCGAGATCGCAATGAACATAAATATCAATAGCCCCAAACACTTCATCAATGATTGTCCCACGTAAGATGTCCTGAGAAAAACCTAAAGATATCATTCATAAGTACTGAATGAGTACAAAAACAAAATGATTTGTTTTGAAATGAAAAAATATTAAGGACTAAATATGTACAAAAATATTAAGGACTAAATGTGTACAAAATGAGAAATATATTACCCTATTAAGTCATTTTTCCCGGCTAACTTGGAGTAACCGGTCATAACGACTGAATGTGTACAGTTTAACAAGTTGAATGAGTAAATGTGGACGAAAAAAAAAACTCAGTGACCAAATGTGTACAAATCGAAAAATATATTACCCTTTATCTGAGGGCTGTTGTGAGTTTTCTAATGTTTCTCTGCAAGAAAAATTTGTAGACAAGAACTTATCAAACATATCAGAAGAGCTGGAAAAGGGAAATCTTTTGGGAAAAGAAGTAAAATTAACTGCTGAAAAGAAGTTATCTGGAGCATCAGAGAAGGAGCTGACAAGAAATAAGCTTGAGGAGGTGAAGGAGAAGCTGATTTCTGCTAAGGAAAAATCAGAGATGAATCTGAAAAGAAAAATGGTTTTGGAAAAAAGAAAAGGTGGGAGAGGTAATTTCTGATATGAATCTGAAAAGAAATAAGCTTGGGGAGATGAAGGAGAAGCTGATTTCTGCTAAGGAAAAATCAGAGATGAATCTGAAAAGAAAAATGGTTTTGGAAAAAAGAAAAGGTGGGAGAGGTAATTTCTGATATGAATCTGAAAAGAAAAGAATCTAAAGAATTCGAAGAGAATATTTCTAGAAAGAAAAGGAAGATCAGAAAACGAAAGAAATCTGAAAATTATCATCTGAAAACTTATCTGAAGACAATATGAAGTCTTTTCAGTTTGCTGAACGAGTTCCAGATCCACCAAGCTTGACATATCTGAGGGGATCTAGAGTGACAAGGAAGAGAGTTGAGCTTCAGAGAAGTCCCAACCACACCAGTTAGCAAATTTGGTTGAGCAAAGTCGAGTCAATGACTTTAAAAAAGGGCAGCTTTCCGGAAGGCAATCCCAGGAATAGTTTTTAGTTTTTTTTACGCTTTCAATAAAGAGATAGTCGTAGTTCCAAGCAAACTTGGGGAAATCAGAGGATCGACAAACTTGCTGAAATTCAGATTTTTCGTCATATCTTCGTCAAACTCAAATTTCTACAAACTTATCATGTACATTCTTTTCTAGTTGTACCGTTTTCTTTTTATATGCCTTATTGGGTTGTTCATTCCTTTCTGAACATTGGGGACAGGACATCATTTTAAGCTTAGGGATGAGGTTAGTGTAAAATTTTGCATTTTTTGTTAAATTTTTTTAGTTTTCAGTTAAAATTTTCAAATTTATTTTTCTTTTTGCATTTTATTTTCTTTTTGCATTTGCATATTTAAAAAAAATCCAAAAAATATTTTATTTTTTATTTTTTTGCATTCATATATAAAAAACCCCAAAAAATTTATTTTCTGCATTTCGAAAAAAAAACGAAAACATATGAGATGAGGACATTCTTGCATTCGATAACTCTGTATAAGTGGGAAATGAAAGTACGAAATGATCATATCGATAGTGGTAAGTTCAGTCATAGTTTCCATAACTAGGAGTCGCAAAACATCATGATCTGAGTGCGACTGTAAAAAATAAAATAAATGGCGTGCTGAAACACTGTGTAGGCGTTAATAATAGTTCAAAAAGATTTGCTTATTAATGTTTAAAAAAGAACCTTGATCGACAAGTCTGAATCCACATAACATGGTCCTATTTGTTGACACGTGTTACCCTCGTGGTAGCTTAGAACCTTATATCAGATCCAGACAGTCAAATGAAGGAAGGGTATAACTGTCATATCTGATACCCAAGTTAATTTCAAGCACTTAATCGAAGAAATCTCAAGAAATTCAAAAAGTTGATTGAAGAACTAAAGTTAAGACAAGAATAAAAAATTCAAGTTCAATCATATCAGAAGCCATCTCAAAGACAAATCTGGCGCAAGAAGAATTGTGTGATATGATATTTGTCGTTCTCTACCAAGTGAAAGCATGAAGCTGGGCTCCTACAGGGGCTGTCCTAAATGCTACTGCAACGAAAGCTGATTTGATTGTGCAGGTTCTTAAGGATGCGTCGATTCTGGTTCTTAATTATCTAGTCTTAAGGACATGAAATTCTTAAATGTGTTATTTTTGTTTGCAATGCTAATTAAGGTATAAAGTTTAAATAAAAGTTGCAATTGGTTTATTTGTTCACAAAATCGAGCTTCTTCCTGACTTCGGGAATCTGTGAGATATGGAAGGTATTGTAATGATCGTCTAGGTAGTGATTCCATTGAAGCTTTCCTCGGTGTAAGTCTGATCATGTTAAAAAAAAGAGTGAAGTATTTTTAGTTCAAGTTGTTTCCTTTATTTTATTATAAATTCTTTTTAGGTCATCTACATCTTTCCATTTGTTTATAATGTTTAACCTTTTTTCTTGAGGGCACATAAGGTTCAAGCTTGGAGAGATTTTATATATGCCATTTTATGCATCTTTTAGGGTAGTTTTTTTTAGCATTTAGTATCATAAATTGTACATTTGCATGTCATCAGTTTAAATAATGTTCAACTCATGTCTTTTATCAGAATTCTCGTACTACTAGCATTTTTGTGTCGTTTCATATAGTTCGAGTGGAGCAGTACTTTGGGAGCAGCTGGATGCATATTTGGAGCCTAAATGCAGTTGGAACTGAAGGAGGATGTTGAGGAATGCTTGGAAGATGTTTTGGTCAAGAAATATTCGATTGAATTGATCATACGAAGATAGATTGCTACAATCTAAAACCTAAAGGATGTTGCATACAGCTTTGACCCCCTGCCGGTATTTTGAACATATCTCATGACTCGTAACTCCGATTGACGAGGTTTAAAATGTTCTGGAAACTAGACAAAATTTCAGACGGCTTTCATGCTTATGTAAACTGAAGAAGCACGACCAAAACAGGCCAAAAATCCAAAAAAGTGATCGTATTTTTCATATATGCGGTCACATAAATGGGACGAAGTTTTTCAGGACCAAAATAAGTCGTCTGAAAGCCATCTAAGAAGAAAAATCAAAAATTGCGATCGCATATTCCCTTTCTACGATTGCATTTTTGTCTGAAAGTTCCATAAACGTCGAAAATAACATCCTACATCATTTAGGGGAAAATCTTGAAAAAACCCTTGATGTGTATATTTTTAATGCACTAGTTTTTTTTATAATTCCTAATTTATCGTATCTAAACTACACCTTACAGACAGTGAACCCGATCGAGTATAGTATAGTTTTGATAAGCAAGGGTGTCAAACACAAGGGGAATGGTAGTGAATTAATATTAGAATGTTTGATTATAGGTTTAAACTAAACACACGAAAATAGTGAAAAGGGGTTTTTATTATTAAATCTCAAGTAATAACTAAACTAACTAGATAAACTGAATGGAAACAAATCACTTTGGGTACTTTGGTTCAGACTGGATTTCATCTCAAAGTATTGGTTAACTACTAAGTGCAATGGATATTTCTTCATTATTTACTGATTCCTAATATGATTATAATTTATGATAAAAGACTAATCCTTTAGTAAAACAAGTTCATTCATTAATTGATCAAGTGGACAAACAAACAAGCATACTAGTGTTAAGTTCGAATTATGCAAGACTTGAATTATAAACTTATATTAATGATCATAATACCAATTATATACATGTCATCACATATAAGATCACACATTAAAGTTACAAACTTTTCTATTTAACCCTAGGTTTGTGGTCAAAATCCTAGTCATACAAATCTAATGATCATAGATTCATATGACTCAAACACATCAAGATAGAATGATCATCTAATCCCAATAATACTTAGCAATAAACATAAATTATTAAAACTTTACCACATGAGGATCTTTTATCAAGCAAACATAATTAAATAAATAAGAATAAATACTCCAAATAGAAAATTAATCACATAATCTCGAACATTATCAAGTTTAACACAAAGCAATAAGGTTTTGAACCCTAAATCAGAAAGTAAATCACAAAATAAGTCATATGGAATGCTAAACATGGTCATAATAGCAAACCAAATGATTCAAATCATGAATCCGCTCTTGAATCCTTCAGATCTTCACTCCATATCAGCTTAATAGTCCTCCGACCGCCTTCTAGACCCTCAAAACGACTTATTTAAGGTTTATTTTCGTAGGGAACGAATTAAGGTTGAAGATATATCACTAGGGGAAGTTTTTGGCTCTATTTATAGCTTTTAACTGGTCACCACGTCGTGTTTGACCGCCACCATGTCGTGGTCCACGTCGAAATCCCGTATCCTCCACGTTAACCTGATGGTCGCGAACATTCCAATCACCACGTCGTGGTTGTATCACGACGTCGTGGTGAGTGGAAGTCAACATTTTCTCAAAACATGAAAGTCGTCCGAAATTGTGTTTAATTTTCAGAACATTTTGAATCTCATCAATTAGAGTTACGAGTCATGAGATATAGCCAAAACACCGACGAGCGGTCAAGCTGTCCAACAACATTCTTTTTGCGTCTTTTTAGCTCCTTTTTCTCATCCTTTTGCATTCCATCTCCCATTCTAACTGTAATTGAACATTTCAAAGCATATTAAGTATCTTTTAGTTCTAAATAACATAAACCATGGTATAAAATAATTAGAAAACGTCATAAATATATGTATAAAATAGACGTTATCACCCTGATATCTGCGATCACAATTCTGCTTATGTGATCACATTTTTCGATTACTTTCTCTGGAAGCTTATGTTTTGCATATAAATAAGACCTTCATATTCATATTTGAGGGTTAGACGATTCCAGACGACGAAAAACATTTCTGAAGGCGATTTATGATACCTTTCAGCGATTTCTGAAGATCTGAAGTTGTGAATCATCTCACACATTTAGTTTATCTAGATTTATCAGTAAATGTTTCTTTTTATTAGTTTAGATTCGTTTTTAGCCATGTATTGCTAAATCCCTAGTTTTCATTTTTGCACAGACTAGTACTTTTCATGTGATTAGTTTTCAAATCTGGTTTCTTTTTGTGTTTCTATCTAGATTTTTCCGTTTTGAACTTAATGAAGTTTGATTTTAAATTCTTGTTAGTTTGATCACCTAGATAGAGTTTTATCATTCCAATTAATCAGTTAATAGAATACGTAATTGTTCTTGTCAATTGGTAATAGGTAACAAGTATCATATTGGTTTCATTTTGGGATTTAACTATGATATAAACTGAAAAATCATATATTTGCGCTTCCGAGTTTGTGAGAAGTATTGAGTATTGTTGGAAATTTTACACCGATCTTAATGCAACTTTTCTGATCTTAATTAAGAGCTTATTTAATTAGACAATAAAAAGTTATGGTTAACTGAAGAGCTTGTTTTGGTTAATTTAACGAGGTAAAAGAGATTATACTAGAACTTGTTAGTTTTTCTCAGTACTAGCTTAGATAAAATGCATCTCGAATAACCAAATCTGAACTGATTGCATGATTAGAAAAGTCATTGTAGAGTTGAAATTGTTTTTATTATTGATTTTCGTTTAGTTTATTTTCATTGCAAATTTTAGTTTTTTAGTTTAATTCAAAAATGCCCCTTTTAATAATTTATGTTTTGACTAGAATGTGCCTGATAGAAAAATACATTGACCGTTAGGCTGTGTCACTGAGGATTCGATCCTGCTTCCCTGTGCTATATTTTTAGTGTAACCAACAGTGATTATTTTATTTGTTTAAATCATGCCTGACTAGCAGTTTAACAACATTACCTAGGCTCTCCTAGAAATTCTCAACCTGACAGCCCCTACCATACAAATAATCTCAATCAACACTGTCGTTTGCATTATGCATGCAAGTTATACACAAAAGGGGATCACATAGATTGTCAAATGATAATTCTACCCTAAGTCCACAAATAAACAAAGAACAAGAAAAGAGGCTAAATTGATCATTCTAAGGCTATATGATCCTAATCGTGTGCAACTTTTTAAGCATACACTTAGCAATTAACTGAGTTGATATCAATTCCAAATAATACTTGACATCCAATTTCCTTTAGGCTATAAGGCATCACACAAATCAAACAATCCTATTATACGATTCCTGAGAGTATCCTTATCCCTATGCTAGCATGCAATACAAATATCAGATATGCTAATCATAACACATAAATATGGGTATTTTAGGAACTACTTACTTGAGTTTGGTTGATTGCATGCATCACACCCTCTTTACTTGATGAAATCTTTTTAGAAATTAAATTTTCTTTTAAAAAGATTATCATTTCCTCAAGTTGAGTTCTGACACACCCGAAAATGTGTCTGAATTCCTTAAACCAAGGCTCTGATACCAACTTGTAACGACCCAAAATTTATAAATAAAAATTTCATTTTAATTTCATCAATCCAAACACCACATGTCTCGAAATCATCCAAAATACAAACTATCATCCCTATGGTTTTGTCTTCATTTTTCATCTTTTCATCCATTTTTTTTTGTCTTCGTTTGTTCATTTTTTCATTTTTTTCATATTGTTTTTCCCCTTCAAAATTTAACCCGACAATTAGAAAAAAAGGAAAAACTTGAAAATGGATTCTTTTTCATTCTCAAAAGATATCGATTTGAAGTTGTTTAAGAACCAATATATTCCCCTTTCTTTCCAATAAACAAGATGATTCTCCAAGAAAAGCGAAGAACAAATTAACCGGGTCTTCTCCACCTTCGTCGGAAAACCAGTGGACCTCAACCCACCAAAATTGAACCTGCACTTTGTTGCCGGATCTACTCCCCGAACGGGTATTCTCGACTTCTCTCTAATCAATCGAGCTGTAATCGATCACAATCCTTTTTTCTTCTCTAGTCTATCATAATCCTTCCGAGGTCCTGACCCACTCTTAATCAATCCAGGCAACAAAAATCGCACCATATTTGCTCCTCTTTATTCTCTAATAGACCATAATATTTCCATCTTCTCTCGAATTCAAGGGTGGTTCACAGTGGCTGGGGTGGTGATGACGTTTGGTGGTAGCTAAAATGATGTGTGTTCTTATAATAAAGCAGGTTTTTCCATAGAACAAATGTGTGTTATCTAGGGGTTCTTATGACGAAGCAGATGTTCAATCCTTCATCAATTACATGAAGACATGAAGGAAGAAAGATTACCACTTTGTACATAAAGATTACTCCGGCTAGAAGGGGTAGTTTGTGTGGTTTCTGGGTTCAAAATCAAAGTAGATGATGATGAGGGTAGTTCATCAAATCTGAAAAAAAGAGTTGTTCCTATTCTTGAAATCAAGAAAAACAGGTGTTCTTGAGATCTAGAAAATCGACTAGATCCAAGACTAAATCAACGATGAAGAACTCCACAATATATCGTTTTTTAGACCAGATTTATGGTTCTTGGTTTCATGTGCTTTGTTCAAGAACACATCTTTTTTTTTTCTTTAAATTTTAACAAAAAGACCCATATATATATATATATATATATATATATATATATATATATATATATATATATATAGATTTTATTTTTGTAATTATAGTAAAGAAAATAAAAAAACTAAATTAAAAGGACAAATTCATCATTTAAATATTTTCAAATAACTTTAGACCAAATTCACAAAAAATAAAACATTTTAGACCACTACAACTTCAAAATATCTTAGACAAAACATCTAATTTTTAACATACTCACACTTTTGTCTAATTTATTTATCCAAATATTAATTCCAAAGAGCATAAGGTCCAATTTACCGATCCAAAATGCAAACCCTAGAAACCGTGTTAGAGGTACACGTGTGTGTTCACACACTCGGTGCGAAGTAGGGTTTAATAGACTGGGTTCCGCTTAACAGCTCTTTCTCTTTCTCCCACACCTAAGCCCCTCCTTGCTGTTTTTCTTTCGTTTGATCCACAGGCACAATCCCCAAATCAATCGATCCATTTATATGTCAATAGAAACACATCAATCTCCAGTGTTTAAACCACACTTTTGAATCGATACAATCTATCATGGCAGAAACTTTGAGCTTGATTGATAAGAATACTATCGTCACTCAAAAACCCATTAATCGTGAAAACCCAGGTGGTGAATCGACTGAATCTTTAGCTCCGGTGGATAAATCTCCTTTTAGAAGGATTGAGTTTCACCTAGCCAGGAAGCCCTTCACCGGGTTCACTAAAGGAGGCGGCGATGGGAGTTTTCGGCTTGAAACGCTCAATCCTACCTCCACGAGCTCGAATAATACGTTTGGGAATCAGCAGGGCGTTGGATTGGATAGTGTTGGTGGTGGGTCTTCGGGTAAGAAAAGAGATGCATCGGAGTTAGGAAACGGGTTGGATCCAGAACTCAGTTTTGGAATTACTTTTCGGAGAATTGTAAGTTTCTTCAATTCTGTTCGAAGGATATAATTTAAAATTCTATTCAAATTCAGCCTTGTTTCCATAAGCATAGATTTTTGTATTCAAATAGTTGAATAAGCAAAAAGTGATGGGACCATTCAAGCTAATTACTTTTGGATAACACATACTAGAGCTAATTACTGCAAAGATGATTATCGTACATTTGACAAACCTAGGTTCCTTAGACTGCAAAATTTGTTGATTTAGGATACTTGTAGTTCATCTGTCGGTGGTCATTTGGGTTTCATACTTTTGTGCTTGGCCATGAATTATCTCGTTTCTATGTTACTTTTTGCCCTTTCTACACAAACTTTTGGTTATATACTTTTATAATCGTTTGTTTTTTTTATCATCCATGTTCAACTTTTATGTATTTTTGCAACAAGTTCCATAAGATCTTTATAATTCTTCTCTTGTTTCCATAAAAGTAAGTTCATGGCTTTTGCTCTATGATGTTGCTGACTTGCTGTTCAGTTTTTCTTCATCATGTATATTATTTGCCACATAGCTTAAGAAAGTTTGATCTTTATTTAACGAGTTCAGTTTGTTTTTATATATAATGCATAAGTTGTTGCTGGAATTGTGTCTGAATACTTTGCATCAGAATTCATCAAATGGCATTCTCCTTAATACATGTAAAGTGTTATGGGTTGCAATACTCGATCCAGACTTCTTTTAAAAACCAGTTTTTCTTTTGCAAAAGAGAATTGTATACACTTGTTATAGCTTGGATGTTTTAAAACCATCTAAATTTGGATTCATAATGCTTACTCATTATACCATATAAATATCTGATAGTCATCATGTAGACTTGTTGATTCTTGATTTTGGGACATAAAGTTTATATTTTTTTTGTCATCATTGACGTGTCTTTAGATATTTGACAAATAGTCTTAACACTTGTCTTAAACTATCTATAGGGTGCTGGTTTGGAGAACCTTGGGAATACTTGCTTCCTCAACTCAGTACTCCAATGTTTAACATACACCGAGCCTTTAGCTGCATATTTACAAAGTGGAAAGCACCAAGTTACTTGTAAATATTTCACTTCTATCTCCCTTCAATAAATAGACACTCACAATCACAAACATGGCTACCCCTTGTGAGATAACCGATTTCTCCATTTACTTTATGAAGGTCAAAAAGCTGGATTTTGTGCATTGTGTGCTATCCAAAAACATGTCAGCTGTGCACTACAATCTTCAGGGAGATCATTAGCACCCAAGGATCTTGTTTCAAATTTGCGTTGTATCCTTCTATAACTTTATGCTCACCACTTTCTTGATTGAGTTCAAACTTCAAAGAGATGATATCTTTATCACTTTATCTATTTGAACTTACAACACTTGATCCAGTAAGTTATACATGAATGTTATGCAAGGAAGAACAACTCAATAGAGAAAGTCAAGAAAATGAGGCTTTTCTCATAAAGTTATATTCTTTTATATATTTCCCCTCATTTCTTTGAACATCCTTGACTACATAATTAGGCATATCTAGGACATTTAGGAATTCAAGGCAGGAGGATGCCCATGAGTACATGGTAAATTTATTGGAATCAATGCACAAATGTTGCTTACCTACAGGAGTCCCTAGTGAATCACAAAGTGCCTATGATAAAAGTTTAGTCCACAAGATATTTGGTGGTCGCCTCCGAAGTCAGGTAATAATCTCTCATCTGTGCAAAAGACGTAAATGCCCTTCTCATCTTCATCATTGAAAATAGCCCTAGAAAGATTTTGTTACGATAAAGTGTTGATTTTTCAGGTGAAATGCATGCAGTGTAACTATTGCTCTAACAAATTCGATCCATTCTTGGATTTAAGCCTGGAGATATTGAGAGCAGACACTTTGTATAAAGCTTTTGCAAATTTCACTGCTAAAGAACAGTTAGATGGAGGGGCAAAACAGTATCAGTGCCAACAGTGCAAGCAAAAAGTCAAGGCTTTAAAACAGCTTACAGTTCACAAAGCTCCCAATGTCCTCACTGTTCACCTTAAAAGATTCGGTTCCCATATGTCAGGCCAAAAGATTGACAAAAAAATCCAATTCGGTTCTACTTTGGACTTGAAACCTTTTGTCACTGGTCCATATGTAAGTCAAGTTCATCTCTTTTCTTGGTTTTGTTAGTATAAATTCAAGAAAAAGCAACATAGATTTTTTTTCTTTTTTTGCATTTAACAAACCTTTTATTATAATTTAGGATGGGGATTTGAAGTACACTCTATATGGGGTTTTGGTTCATGCTGGTTGGAGTACACATTCTGGCCACTATTATTGCTTTGTTAGGACATCTAGTGGCATGTGGTATTCACTTGATGACAATCGTGTATATCAAGTGAGTGAAAAGAAGGTTTTTGAGCAGAAAGCCTACATGTTGTTTTATTTCCGTGATCAAAAGAGTTTTCCATCAAAGAAAACTACAGATGTTGTTCATCAGAAAGAAAAGATTCCAATGAATAATGGCCTCAGTGTATCAAAAGAGACCCAAAAGATTCCAATGAGTAATGGCCTCTGTGTATCAAAGGAGACCCAAAAGATTCCAATGATTAATGGTTCCAGTGTAGTACCAAAAGAGACCCAAATATCCTCAAATGTACAAAAAGAGACCCAAATATCCTCAAATGTACAAAAAGAGACCCTAATGGATGCCATTTTAAGTAATGGATCTTCAGTTACTGTTTTGAGAAATGGGTTCATTACGGGTGCAACAGAACAAAAAGAAAAGAGAGAGGATTTGGTTCCAAAAAGTTCAGAAAGCTCAGTCAACTCCAAAAATGGAGATTTTAGTGTCCCGATTATGAATCTTGGAAATGCTGAAAGTAAAACAGATAAGGGTGAAACTTTGAAGGTAAAAATTTCTCATTTTTTGTATGAAGTTTATAAATTTGTTCTTTTCCCATCTTTAATTGTATAAGTTTACAGGAAAATGGTGGAGGTGAGTCGGTTGTTGGTGGTGATGGTCAAAAGGGGGCGGCAGTGGTGGCTGCAATGGTAGTAGATACACCAGACTTGCCAAAAATGGAAAGTTTGACCAACAAGGAACCTCTTGACCAAAAACCCCACAAGAAAGCAAAGAACTTGCCAGAAATGGGAAGGTTGACCAAGAAGAAGGAAGTTGACCGGAAACCCAACAAGAAAGTAAAAAACTTTTTGAAGTGCAAGAAAATCATAAGTATGAAATTCAGTGCAAATGTTCTAATGGGGACTTCATTAAACCAAAGGAAGAAAAAGAAACATAAGCAAAGCAAAAAGATCAAGAAACTTGTTAAAGAAAACTTGGTCAATGAAGGTCAACCTTCATCTGAAAAAGTCAAAGCACAGGATGTGGTCAAACCTCCAGTTGATAAAGAAAAGTCGGTCAATGAAGGTCAACCTTCATCTGAAAAAGTCAAAGCACAGGATGTGGTCAAACCTCCAGTTGAAAATGGATTCAAAGAGAGGGTTAATAAAGATGGAGCTGTTCTTGCAACAAATGACTTAAATGGTGTCTCAACAGGAATCCAATCAAATCATTTGAGGGAAAATTCGACACAAAAAGATTTGCTTCATTTGCTTACAAGAGGTTTAGATGACAGAATTGGTGAGTAATATTTGTATTTTTGCTGCATTTTGGTTATAATATCCATTAATGTCAAAAAAGAAAGGGACATTTTGGGAAATTGAAGGAAAAAAGAAGTTTGACTGTTTTTTGACTTATTTTTATGTGATTTCAGTCCCTCGTTGGGATGAAGGTGAATCAACAACTTCTCATATAAGAGAAAGAAAACGGGATCTCACCATTGGTTACATTGGAGATGAATGGTGAGTTTTAAAGCCGATTTTTTTTACATGTATTTTAATCTTTATAAACTTTTATACATAACACTTAACCCCTTTTTGTTATAATTCAGGGATGACGAATATGACAGAGGAAAGAGGAAGAAAGTAAGGATTTCAAAAACCGAATTTGATGGAAAGAATCCGTTTCAAGATATTGCAAATGAGAGGTTAAAATCGGAAAAACCGAATTTGTCGAAAAGACCCGTGAACATGAAAAACGAGCATTTTAAAAAGTCAACATCTGGAAGACCTTTTAGGATATGATGTGGAAATTGTGACAAGTTTTTTGGTTGATGAAAATTGAGAATTGAGAATTGAGAATGCCCGAGATAATTTATGAGGTGTTTTCTTGGAAATTATTTTCCGATTTGTAGATTTTGCCCGAGTTTGTGAGGTGTGGGAGTAATTTTAGTTTTGATGTTTGAAATTAGGGTTTTGAATTAAGGTGGTGTAATGACTTATGACTACTTATGAAACATGGTGAAAAATGTATGTGTTTTGTATTTTGTTTAAGAGGATATTGAACTCATGTGTCTTTAAATGTTTTGACATAAAATACTAAATGTTGTCTTTGTTCTATTTTTTACCCTTTCACGATTATAGCTTACAATGTTTATAATTTATAATATACATTTTTTTATAAACTAGTAATTAATACTAATGTTTATTAAAGAAATTGAATCAAATTGCATTGGGACCAGAGCATATAAAGCCCGAATCAGACAATGGCCCTATATTTTGTATCCTTGGACCAGGATCTCTAAATCTAATTATTACATGAATTTAATTAAAAAGAATATTATATATATATATATATATATATATATATATATATATATATTCAATCATTTCTTTTTTTTTTCATATTCAGAAAAGCACTGTATAATGATTGGTCTTGGGCATGAGGCACTATGATTAACAATCGCCCTACAAGTCTAATGATAACTTTCTTCAACAACAAGCTTCCATAAGTGATAAGTTCTCATGAAATCACTAAATGACTTTTCTTGAAACAATTATATTTTCCTCCACAAAGCATATTTACTATTTAGTGATTCTTTTTAGATTTTCATAGATTGTAGCAGGGGTGAGCATTTGGACCGGACCGGACCGGCTCTTGGACCGGACCGGTTATGGAGAATTTTTGTGGACCATGGACCGGACCGGACCGGATGAGTCGTGTCCGTGTCCGGGTCCAGGTCCGGGTTTTTCGGTTTTTGGATCCGTTTGGACCGGTACAACTTTAATTGCATAGAGTATAAGTAATCTATATTGATACCTAATATTATAACTTGCAATTTGTAAAAATTAATTTTCCAAATAAAAGCAACTAACATATAAATCAAGTTCACCAACAAAAGTTAAACAATTTTAAGACAAACATACAAAAGTATTACCGTAACAACAAAAATCATAGTTTAAACTTTAAAATCAATCAAACTAACAAACTTCATAAACTCATAATCTAATCTTCCATTGGCCTCTTCCCCATATCATTGTCATCCATATGTAACATATTTAAAGCTTGTGCAATCTCTACATAAACACAAATGAAAATGTTGTTAGTATTTAATAAAAAGTAATAATTGTATAAAAAAAGAACAAAGATTGTAATTTTTTTTACCCAAAGCTATATCATCATCGTTCAAGATGTCATCAACGTTGTCAACTATCGGATTTGTAGACTTTCTCACCTAATCTTGGGTGCATAACAAAGCTTCAACTATCAACGTCGATAAACTAGTCCGCTACTCACTTACAACTCTACCACATGTGCCAAAACGCGGACTCGGACGCTACACTTGAGATTTGTATCGCCAATATATCTAACAACAAAGAATTAAATTGTAACAACATTAATTTATAAAGAAACTATGAAAGTCTAAAAAAAAGTAATCACCTTTCGCCATCCGAACAATTGTTGGGAACCTAATCGCGTTTACTCTCCACCACCCGAGAATTGAGATTTTTTTTTTATAATTAACTATATTCTCTTTCAAATAAGTTCGTAACTCGTTATCCGTTGGATCCGAGTTGCTACCTCCCGTACAAAGAAAATCACCGAAAAAATCGTTATCATCATCAACATCAATGACTATTTGACTCGCTTCTTGTTGAGATGATCCACCGTTGTCAAATCGTTCCAAGTAGGTCATAAATAAATTCTCCATCCTATTCTCAACCTCTCGGACCATTTGACGTGCTTTTATGTCTATGTCTGTGGGGGTCAATACGGTTCCATGGACCCGATCATTTTGTTGGGTCAAAAATATGGTTTATACTTTGCTTTTCTAGGAAAATGTATTTTTGTGTCTTGGACCGTAAACAACTTGGTGTTTACGGTCGTATACGTGTTTACGGTTGTGTTTACGGCCGTAAACAGGCTTACGGCTGTAAACCCATTTACGGCCCATGTTCACCAAGCCCATGTTTGTTATGTATAAATATAGGTGTAAGGGGTGAGGAGTAGAGTGATGAACACATAGAATAGAGGAGCTTAAGTGTGTGCATTTGAAGGTGTTCTAGAGAGAAAAAGAGAGAGAAAAGAGAGTGTGTGTAAGTGTGTGTGAATCTTGTATCCGGATCTTCATTCATATCAATACATACAAGATTCATCATCTTCTTCTTCTCCTTCTCTTCTATTTGATCTGACATCATCCGTTTGATTGGGATTCCGCACCATCAAACGGATCTGATTGATACACAAGCAGATTAGGGACTTACAATTGGTATCAGAGCAATAGGAGACAAGGCAAAGATGTGTTTGTGGGAACAATAAGAGACAAGGCAAGGACACGCCACCAGGGGCAGGAAGAAACAACTTCACAGTGAAGAAAAAGACATGTTTTCACTGTGGAACACCTGGTCACATTGCCCGTAATTGTCCTAATCGTGCATATGTTCCCTACTATGCACAAGGCTGGCAGAACGCGCCAAGAGGGAGATACTTCAAAAGAAAACCCTCAAGGTCACGTTCAGACCATGGTGACTGGAACGTGCAGAAGGCCAAGAATCAAACCCACAAGGCCAGGAATCTAACTCCCAAGGACAAGAAGGGAATGTCGGCCAAGAAGCCCAATCCAAGAGATGCTCCAGTGAAACAAAGACCGGTTAGGTCAAAGTCATCTCAACGGCCGACATCAAGTTCAAAATCAAGTACCGAGCCACCCATCAGATCGAAAAAGAAATGGGTTAAACCCAACTACAAATGGGTTCCAAAGGCTCACTCTCCCAAATCTTCTAACGATTCTAATATTTCTACATCTTCTGTTTGTGATAAGCAGGACATGTCATGGGAGAGAGTACTATGCAAGGATGACAAAGGTCGACCCAGTTTCAAAATGGACTGGGTTCCAAAGACCAACTAATCCCGCTCTGTGTCGGAGAAGCTATGGAGGCATATCATCAGACTTCGGTTTGTTGGTAGTGGCTGTTCCAGGCACATGATAGGAGGCATCTCTCAACTGTACAACACTCAGAACATTGTTTGAGAGTATGTGTCCTTTGCGGGAAGGGAAGAAAGGAAGGAATCACTCATGGGGTTAGTGCTTAACGATGTGAAGAATTTTTGGATCTGTTCTGAGATTACACATGCTGTTCTTAGACCTTCTGGATGCAAATTCAATCGGTGACTTACGGTTTGAGTTTTCTTCTTTATACTCATGAGTTTTTCGTAAGCTGATTCGCTTTAAAGACTAATTTTTGTTTTAGGATAGTTTAAATTTGCGCATTTACTTTCGTTTCTCTCCTATGCACAAATTTAGGGGGAGAAATAAAAAACAAAACAAAAATTAGAAAGTTTTAAAAAAAATCCAAAAACATTAAAAAAAAAAAATCAGAAAATCCAAAAATATGTTGGTTATGAAATGTGCTTGAGGGAGATGTTTTGGGAAGTGATATTATCAAGTGATAACAGGCAATCTGAGTCTGTGTAACGTACCCAAAGTTGAAGGGTCTATGCTCTGGGTTTGATGCGTTGGTAGGCACGAAAAATACTAAATGGACATGACTAGGCAGAGTTGAACTTAAGGAATTCATAGACTTGACAAATCTTGACCTAGTTAGATCCGTTTAGCCTGACAATACGACGCTTGGATAGGTTGAACAGGGAGATATATATGGGAATCTACTGGTCACATTAAAGAACCTGTACTTGGAACTGTGGATTAACTCTTCCTCGATGTACGGACTTTGTCCTTAATTCCGGTATTGATGGGGCGACTGGGGAATTCCGATAAAGTAGGTCTGTAGAAAATTATTTTCTTGCTTTCCTTCTGTTAGTCATATGTTGCCTCCTCTGCGTGATTGAAATACATCCGACCTGGACTGCAACATATGCAACTCTATTTCTATGCATCTTCTATCTATGCAATTCTTCCTGCCTGTTAGCCATATGCTGTCTCCTTTGCGTGATTAACCATCCGACCTGGTACACAACATATGCACCATTCTACTTCTCAATCCCTCTAAATCTGGTTAGTCATATGTTTCACCCTCTGCGAGATTGGAAGAGATCCGACATGGGTGTATAACATATGCACTCTAAATCTGACTTCTCTCATAATAATTGTCTGCTCACCTAAAGTAAGGAGTACTTTGGAAGTTCCTGATTATTGGGGTATGTCAGGAAGCGGGAAACATGTTCTAGTACATTTAAAATTGAACAATCACTAGGTTGTCTGTAGATCTCGCTGCTCAATTTAGGTGGACAACAATATCTTTGGTCGTCGTCAGCTGAATGGTCCTTAAGGAATATTATCTAGGAACTTAGGATCACATTGTCTTGTCACTTATAGTATGTCCTAATTTTGTCACAATCTCTCGTGTTTAAGTGGACCACAATACCGACGATTGACCAGATCTATTCATGAAGGGAGAGGTACTGATAAACGGATAAAGGCTGTTTAAAAACTTTGATCCCAAATCACTCTTAAAGTTAGATATCATTTTATTTTTGTTAAATTTGTTCATAGTTTTCTTCTAATTTAAATATTAGAGGAGAATTAAAAATTAAAAAAAAAAAAACAAAAATCAGAAAATTAAAAATCCAAAAATAGTGTTATTTCTGTTTTATTTCTTTTTCAGAAAATATGAAAAATCCAAAAATATTGTGTGCTAAAATTTTCTTTTAGTTTTGTTTTGTCTTGAATAGTGAATTCAGGTGAAGATGAAACTCATGGAAGTTTGTGTCGAAGATTTCTGAGCCAAGGCTTCATCCGTGATCATCGAAGAATTCGCATTCGAAGGAGCAAGAAATGAAGATTATTCTTTCGACATTCAATCCTTCAACCCCAGAAGCAAGGTGAAGCTGAAATTGAAGATTATGTGACGGATTGCATTGAAGCCTCCTCAATCAGTCCGCTGCTATCTTGAACCTGCTGAAGTGATCCAGAAGATTTGTTCTCTCTGATGTTCTCTCTGAAGATTCTCAAGCTGAAAGCACTATCTTTCAAGAATCAGTACAAAAAGCCTCCTCACCCAATGTGCGTTCAATGTCAAATTCTGAAGAAAAGCCCAACTGCTCAAGAT